CGTGTGCTCTTCCGATCTTTGCAATTTTGTTAAAAAATTAAAATATCGGATCGCCAAATTTTTTTATTACTATTTCAAGTATGCCCTTTCAGAATTTTCAAAGATTTTTCAAATCGGTCTATAAACAAAAGAGATATGATTTTTTGAAAAAGATGCTAAATCGCGATTTTTTCGCGTTTTTGAACATTCCTTTTTCTTTGAACCCGTATATCTTGAAGCTCCTTAATTCTATCGACTTTTAAACATTATGGGCTTGTTTCTTGGTCGATTCTCTATCGATTGAAAAAAATTAATTGAAATATATCCATTTTTACTAGAGTACATATGAATGAGGTCCCCGGGACCCACGTGTACATATGACGTCGTCAAAAAAACAGTGTATATATCTAGGGTTAATGAAGATTTATCTCTTGCGTATTGACTGACTTACCATTAGTTTGTGTCTGCGACTCTTGAACTGACACGTTGGAAATCCGCTTGTAGTGGTTGTAAACGGCGACACTCAGCATCTTCTTCGCATACTCCTGGCCCGCAACGTGTTTGTTCAGATACTCGAATATCTGAAAATATCACATTATTGTATCGTTATTTCTTGTTTCTAAAGTCGGAACGTATCGCAATGATTTTATTTAAAAAGAAAATCTGCATACTCATAATTATAAATTAAATAATCAGAATTAAATTGCTATAATTTACTTCTTTCGGAGATGGACTTTTCGACCCGATTGCCTCCGTCGAAGTCTTCAAATCGTTTTTTTGCATCGCAACGAAGAAATGACGGCACTTGCACTTGACAAATCTCGTGGACACTGTTATTTGCGTTATGCACTTGTTGGGTTCCTAGTTGGATTATGCAGTTTAATGTATGTTACTTAACATAAACATTCGCAGGACGCAAAAGACCTTCTACTTGCTCAGTCCCCTTCTTCTTTCTTCTTTTTTTTGTGGAACCTACACCCAGGCGGACGTGTGATACGATCTAACTTCCAAACGGCACTGAGATTCAGCGTGGTGAGATACTATACCGCGAAGATTTTAGAAGATTCCAGAATCACTCCGCCACAGACATCCACCTCAGTGGATCGCGGTCGAATCCTTGCTCAGTCCTCAATTGGGTCTGTTTTGATCAGTCTATCCAATCGAACATGGCTGGTTTTTTTATCCGTGCATGAAATTCAGCTAAAAAGAATACCTATTATTGGCTGATAGTAGTGCGGCCGTTACTGGCGTTGCTGCACAATAACAATAATCTCCACGATTTCACAGCCTATCGTCACTATTTCGTACAAGGCGTGTTCAGGAAATTCAAGACCCTCAGCGCTATTACATGAATTACATCATTCTTGTTTTACAACACCGGATGCTATACATCTTTTGGGGTTGGAGTTGTTTTACATTTTTACAATAAGGTATGTACGATACAGATAGAATAATGCAATAGCATTGAATAAAATTCTTCAAGTACATGTAGGACACTGAGTAATTTTTTTATTGAGCCATGAGAAGAAATTATTAAAAACTTCGCAGTTTCTTCGCTTGCTTTTCAAACGCTTTTCGATAGCTGTTACGAAGCCGAAGCCACGTAAGGTATCAAAGTAAATAGACAACTGTTCACTTACGAAATACTTTATTCTGGACAATTATAAAGCGAGGTGTATTCGCTACGAGAGACGACACAGAACTAACTAACTGTTCGCTCAAGAGAGATCTTCGTTTAGAGTCTCGCGAGTGGAGCGTTTATATAAAGTAAATAAACAGTAGATATCGAAGGGTATAAGTACTTATGTTTATTACGGTTAGGCATATTGGGTTACGGACCCAAACATAGGGTCAGCTTAGGGACTGAAGAGGACCTATCGATAAAGTGCGGCGTCGTTGCGTCGCGGCACGTAACATAGCACCAAGATTATTTGATTATGGCAGATTCTTCAGTGAGATTTTTGCTTTCATTATCTTTCTCGAAACTTCCCGCCGATGGGAACTATTAATTAATACTTACAAAGCTGTATAAACGAAACAGAATAATACACATATGATAATGAATTTAGTATAAATGTTAACTTGAATTATTCAGATTTAATCGTGTTTCTTTATAAAAGTAATATTTAAAAGTAAATAATGTGCATTTGATAATCTTAACAATAAATCAATAAAACCAAAATCATCATATTTATGACAAAATGTAAAAGACTTCTAACAAAAAATGTAAAATAATAGAGAATTATTTATTATTTGCCTTTATTAATGATTGTAAAAGATACAATTTAGACAAAGATAATTTCCAAGTTCTTTGATGATTTTGAACATGAAGATATGATGCTGTAGATTACAAAACGTTATTTTTTCTATGCAGTTGATAATAAGAGTTTTCGTCATCTATCATCATGTACATTTTACAATTAATGCGGATTAATGCATTTTACAATTAAAAGATTAAAGGAAATAGAGTTCTAAATAAAAATTCTTAGAACGTTAAGTATAAAAATATGGACAATATTTGTAGATCTCAATCTCGTAAGTCATTTTCAGTAATTTCTACATATGTATTATGTAATGCGATTTATGTGTAACTTTAGGATTATTTATGTACATCGGTATATAAATTGTTTACAAGGTAAATAAATCCAAGTATATACTGCAGTTGCATATCGTACATTTATTACAAATACAGAATTACTATCTATAGGACATCAGATCACTGTGAAAGAGTTAGGAAAAAAATTCTATGCAAGTGTCTTCACTCGGTGTTATATTTTGCACAGCCTGGTTTTTTTTTCTTTCTTCTTTTGTATAGTTTTATAATCAGTAAGTAAATTAGCAGTAATTAGCAAAGATGTATATACTCTATGGTCAAATGGATAAATTCGCATATCATACACACCTTCCTTTCCACTAATCTGCCATGCTATGTACAATATATTACACATAAACACTTCTACCTATTGTATTTCGACAAAAATAAGTTTTTTTTTTTATATTGTTCTTCACTTTCTTTTCGTCTTCTCTTGTTGATTGATGTTATCCCATTGTCGAGAGAACGAGTACTAACATTATGTTTATTAAAATTATTGTACTACAAGGATGATCTTTTTCTTAATTTTTTTTCTTAAACAACGCGTAACAATAGCAATCTCTTTACAATCCTGGCATGACAATATAGGAAAATTTATGAGTGGTGACATTAAAATCCTCTTTATTATACGGCCTTTTACAATTTTGTATTTAATCGATTCAAATTTTTTGTTTCCGTACCTTAGGTCAGTGTGAATTGTATCAATTTACATCATAATGGAAGTTCGTTTCATCGCATCAAATTTGTAGCATTTAAATTGCCAAATTGGATTCAATGACGCTGATATGAATGTGCATATATATTTTAATTTCATTAATCTCTTTATGATATTATATCACTAGATATGAACGCCTGTATTACGCCGTTTTACTTTCGATGTTACCATCAATAAATGCATGCAGGATGCAAAACTTGATTGGATGAACTTGAGTGGAATGCTATTATGTACTTTTTGACTTTTCCTGCAATATGAATGAATTAAACGATACAAAATTTATTTACACTTCTCTCATTGTCAAGTAAGAATTAGGTCTGTATATTTTCATTATTCTGACATTGTCTATACTTTTATGCGACACTTTCTCTTGGAAGAGGTATTTATATAATGCATGTTCCAAGTGGGCAAAACATAAGATACAGGACTTACAGTTTGCGATATTATTCTTATCATGAAATCAAGTAATTAAATATATTGGCATTCACATATCTATTATTGTTATTTGCAACAGATGTGGATTTATTATAAAATAATTTTCGAGATTCTTTGAAACAAAAATATATATATATATGAAGGAGTACATGTATCTACATATATTCCTTCCTTTGGTACGTTCAAAAATATATGTATAATTAATAATGCAGCAAACAATATGTCCAATATTGTACATAAAATATCCAAAATCGATAGAAATTCAATGTAGCAAAAAATTAATTATAATTTAAAAAATATTCTAAATACTAAATATACAGGACAGTTTGAAAACTATGTATGCGTTGTTCTCATATTATTTTCTTTTTACATGAAATAATTATTCATGTGTATATATATATATATATATATATATATATACATATAGAATATATTATATCCATTATAATATATAATGGATATAATATAGAATATATTATATCCATTATAAAATAATTAAAATAGCGATTTGTACGCGAATGTTTTAATTTAATTTTCGTCTAAAAAATTGTTTATCTACCGATAAGGGAACAGTTATACCAAAGTGTCGCATTCCTTAATTATTTGTTAATTATGTACATGCTGCGCCTGCTGAACGTCGTCGTAATTGCTGTCGTCTCGTTTTACATATTGAGGCTTTTCGACGCCCTTCACGCACTGTTCGGTAATGTGAACGGACACTATGTCGCTCCCCGGTACTTCGAACATAGGCTCCAAAAGCAGCGATTCCATTATAGCTCGCAAACCCCGCGCTCCCGTTTTCTTTGCCATTGCCAAAGAGGCAATTGCATTCAATGCATGTACGTCAAACGTCAGCTCCACCTGCGTAAATCCAATACAATTTGTTAGAATTTGATTTCCAATTAACAACTATTGTGATTTTTTAATTCAAACAGATTCAGTCTTGATGCTATCTATGTCTTGATACTATCATGAAGGTGAAATTATTAAGCTCTACCTTGTCCATCGAGAATAACATCTGATATTGAGGTACGATGGCATTTTTCGGTTCGGTGAGAATTCTCGTTAGCATCTCCTTGTCGAGGGTATGGAAAGGCACGAGCACGGGGAATCTGCCAACGAATTCAGGTATCATGCCGAAGTCGATGAGATCTCTCGCTTCCACCTGTTGCAACAGCATGTCCTTCTCCTTGTTGTCTCTCTCGGTGGAAGGTGACATGTTGGCGACATCGGCCAAAGTCGCCGCCCGCCTGCCCGGGTTCTTGATCGCGGGCGTCGCACCAAATCCGAGATATTTTTCCGACTTGCGTCGCGCTATCAACCTGTCCAGACCGCTGTACGCACCCGACGCGACGAAAAGGATATTCGTAGTGTCCACTTGAAGCATCTCCCCCCGCAACTTTCTCGAGCTATTCCTCTCCGGTACGTTCACTATCGTTCCCTCCAACATCTTCAGCATCCCCTGCTGCACACCCTCCCCGCCGACGTCGCGCAGCTGATGGATACCGGGGATAGCGCCTATCTTGTCGACCTCGTCCAAGAAGACGATGCCCATCTGAGCGCGATCCACCACGTAGTTGGCGTCCTGCAGCAGCTTAGCTATGACACTCTCGATGTCCTCGCCGACGTAGCCGGCCTGCGTGAGAGTGGTGCAATCACAGATGGCGAACGGGACGTCCAGGCACTGCGCTATCGTTTGCGCGAGCAACGTTTTGCCAGAGCCCGTAGGCCCGAGCAGCAGTATGTTGCTCTTTTCCAGTTTCAACTGATGCTGCTTGCTGTCCAGTATAGCCGATCCAGGCGCCGACTGGCTGCTCGCTTTCTGCTCGCTTCCCGGATTGACTGTATGCTGGAACCCGACTCCTGGAAACGGATTTCCGATGCCTGATATATGCAGTAAGTCTGCAGCAAAAAAAAAGACATTTTACGATAATCGCATGAAGTAATATATTTTTTCTATGAGGGAGCATATTATGGGAATTATATTGCTGCATCGAATCGCAATCTGCTTCACTATTGTAAGAAATCATTAATTAAATTAGTTTTAAACTATATTTCAATTTTATGAGAAGTTCCAATTATAATATGCAGATTACATATTTTATTTCTTAACAATTTACAATACTGGGGCACTGTTATTTACGTTGAAGACCTCTATGAGTGAAGGGATGATTTGTCTCCTGCGTGCTGACCGGATTGACATTAGTTTGCGCCTGCGAGTTTTGGATTGGCAGATTGTTGTAAATTCGCTTGTAGTGATTGTAGACGGCAACACTCAGCACCTTCTTCGCATATTCCTGGCCCACAACGTGTTTGTTCAGATACTCAAATATCTGAAAATATCACATTGCATTATTTTTTCTTGAAACTAAAATAGAATCGAAACGCATTTTGTTTTATTAATAAAATCTGTATATGTAATTATACAAATTAATCAGAATTAAAACCACCTTACCTTCTTCGGTGGTGGAGGCGGCTTCCTGTAGAATCCTTGCTTGCCATCCTCCGGCCTGAGCGCCTCCTTCAAACTCCTCTTCGAGTCGATCTCCGACAGCACAACGAAGAAATGATGGCACTTCTCGCACTTGACGAATCTCGTGGATGCTGTGTTATTTGTAAAAATGGTAGATGCTGCGTTAGAATGTAACATTAGTATACATGTATAAAGATCTGAACGTAAATACAAGTCTTCGCGGTGGACTACGGACAACCTGACGCGCGTTACGAACTCTTTAAACTCCAAACTCAACAACCGTTCTGCTTACAGACAAACGTCTCGACGTGCGTGCAGGGATCTCCGCACTTGGGACAGGTGAGTGTGTTTTTCTTCCCGCCACCGGTGCCACCACCGCTCGAGGATCCGCTGGGCGAGACGGTGTCTTTGGAGGGTGGCGTGGGCTCCGTCGGGGTCTTGCCCAAGCTGCCGCTGATCGTCAGAGCTCTGCTGGCCACGACGACCCTGACGATCTTGTGCACTGTCGCAATCGCAAGCAATAACGTCTCATTAAATCTCCAGTTGCCAACGTCATCCCTTTCAATAGCTCGACAATTTCAGCTGTTAACTCAAGATAGACACACATAGGTTCTGTGTTCGCAAACATTACTCACCATGACTGATGACATGGTTCGAGGAAGCTAAGCGACCCGCGCCGATCAGGCAGCAGCGCACGCAGCTCATGGTCGGCGGTGGATCTCGGCGGGGTCGAAGGACTCGGCGGGGATGACGGGGCTCGGACAACTACCTACGACGCTGAGATCTAAAATCAGAGAGGTACTTCCCTTACGCACACGACCATATTGCCGAATATCGCACCGTGTGTACGCTCGAAACCCGACAGAACGGGACGGCCAATGGCTGCGCTCGCGTGTTTACGAAATACCGTATCGGATGAGCGTAGTCGCGCGGTCGCTCGGAGTTGTTTGTCGCGTGTCGCGGAACACGAGAACGGGGCAAGACCCGAAGGGGTTTTGTCTTCCCCCGCGAGACGGCTCCGAGAAAAGATTTCGCGGAACGGAGCGGGAAAACTCACGAGAGAGAGAGAGAGAGAGAGAGAGAGAGACTCTGAACGCGCGGGGCGGCGCGGATTCCGTGCGGGGGGTGACCTACGTGACAGCCGAAATCCGCGACATCGTCGGCGGCGCGACGTTGGCATTGCGCGACACGCGCAAGAAGAACGATAACACGGAGAGAAAAACAGCGATTATCGGGAGCGCCGCGGGAGGGAAAAGGGAGGGGAAAAAAGAGCGAGAGGACAAATAGGTGAATGGGGGAGACGGACGTCCCCTGTGCGGATCGCCGACGCGATCAGGTCACACAGGCTTGCGTACATTAGATCTTACCCGACTTAATAAACCGATTAAAAAAAAAAAAACCGCGACGTCGACGGGAACGACAATGCCGTCGCGGCGGATGCGTGTAAAAACGAGGCGCAACAAGGCGCAACAACACCTCCTCGGGAAAACATACGTGGGCGCCCCGAGTGTGTCTCCTCGATTGCTCCTCGATGACGATCACCGGCGCCCTCTCGCGCGATCCCGCGCGACTCGCTCGCCGCGTGGCGTTGTGTGTGTATATGTAATCTCTTTGGTCGTGTGCCCTAGACCTTCACTTTCGCGCGTCAGCTCCTCACGCGGTAACTTGTATGCGTATGTTGAGCAAGCAACTACACACTGCTGTACATACACACATACGTCATACGTATACATGCGTATGTGAATGAACACTCGGTTTTTTTGGTCAAAAAAACGCCCGGTCACTGAGATGCCGAATTTTCAAAAGCACAAGCCTGTCATTCCATGATGTATCATAGGAGAAAAGAAAATAAATTAAATATTGCGAATGCAGGAAACGGAGATCTCGACTTTATGTTATCCGCGCGGATGATAACGGTGGAAAAGATGCAGCGTCATATTATTTACTGCGTCATAAATAAATATGTCGATTTACGAAGCATCTGTGTGACAATCGTGAATCTACGTGGTTATCTGGGATTACGTGCGAGCTAAATTAAAATTATATCGATAGTCGATAATGTCCTCAATTATTCTCCGGGCGCCCAGAAAGATGGCCGCAAAAAATTACGCAGGGCCGGCTGTCTTCCAACAATACAGTCGCAATAATACAGGAAATTTGGACCCGATTAAAAAATTATTCTATAAACGAACAGATCTGTCAAGTAGAAGTAGAAAGTCAATTAGACTAATTAATGGGAGTTTCAGTGTATCATATCATATGTCGATCGTGTCCTTATATTGATTCCAAGAAAACCGCTTTATTTGTGGCTGCGCTCATTTCACTGTCTGAGCTTGAAATGGACTACATGACTGGAGAGGAGAGAAAAAGAAGAAAGGCGAAAAATACATAAAATTTCGCTATATATAAAAAAAAAACAAATCTAATCTCGACCGTTGATCGTGGCTGACTTCAGACACACGAGGCATGTGTACGCGACGCAGAATGTGTTGTATGTACGTTCCTGGGAGCCGAGCCTGCAAATTATTTTATTCATTTTATTCAACATTATGAAAGAAAACGGCGAGACATGTGACGTTTTTATCGCTCACCTAACTGCGCACCGCGTTCGCACGCGCGCCTTTGTCACGCCCGCGTATCGTAAGCGATTATTCAGAAAAAAAAAAGAGAGAGATTGTATCGCGACAATCGATCGCTTTACTTGATATGCGGGGGACGGTAATACGCGTGAAACCGCGGAAACGTTCACGCCGTGTCGCACGTGGTCGGAGTAAGGAAAAAAAGAAAAAAAAACCGTCAAGGCTCAGCTCTGTCACATTTGTGCAAATATATTATATATATATATATGCGCGCCGCGCGATAAAACCGCGCGTGTACTCGACGGGCCGCACATTATTGCCGCCGATATCTTCCCTTATCGATGGATCACGCCGTCCCCGGCGTCTTTCGGAGCAGAGGAGGCCTATATTGCCTTTGACGGTTTGACGTTAGCCGCCTCCCCCCGAGATTGGAGGTAAATTCAAACGCATCTTCCGCTCCCTCGAGCTTCTCAATTAGGCGCGATTAGAGACGAGACAATTTCACGGTGCCTGGGATAACAAACGGATGCCGCGAGGGTACGCGGCGGGAAGTCGCGCGGCGACACTCGCGTAACCTATACGACCGCGTTTCGGGAACGAATGATGTACGAGCGTGAGACGCGTACGCGTTTTTACTTCGCCGCGCCGCGATATCAATGAGACCACTTCGATCGATACGGGATTATAGATAGCGGGACGAGGAGAAATTGCACATTACCCGTTATCACTCGAGTACGCTCTTCTGTCTTATCTGAATAATTATCGTCGATATTGCACAACCCCGCGTGCCCTAATCTCGAACACGATGTGTTGCGTATGCGGATTACAGAAAATTTGGAGAAAGTGGACCACGCTGCGGGCGCAGGAGTAATTCGGACGCTTCCGCTTATCGGAGAGAAGAGTTACGTTGATAAACGAGTCGCGAGGACTCGATCAAGAAGGACCTGTAATTCACCTGTTTAGCTTGAAGCACCATGGCTGTCCGTTTGGCGAACACCGGCGACAGTAATTTGGACAGCAAGATCGCCGAATGGCTGCAGTGGAACAAGGTATATATCTGGCTAATAAATTCAGGATTTTATTTTCAATATGATAATTTGTAATCGCGATAAATGCACTCAAGTTACATTTATATTTTAAAATTAAAATAAAATTTAAAGTCAAGGCTCCAAATTATTCCAATATTAATAAAAGAAGTAAAAAAGGGCCAATGAGCCAAAGCTTGGGTGTTATATCGCTCCAATATGTATTTATTAATTTAACAAATTCATTATTTGAATAACAAATTGTTATTCAAATAATGGGCCAACGAGCCAAAGCTTGGGTGTTATATCGCTCCAATATGTATTGAATATCCAATTGAGTATCCAATATATATGAGCGATATAACACCCAAGCTTTGGCTCGTTGGCCCTTTTTTACTTCTTTTATTAATATTTATATTTTAATTGTATCATTTTGATTCTTGATTTATGGCAGGATCCGAAAGCAGAGGATGAGATACTCGAGTACTTGGACAAGGGGCAGATCAAAGTATTGTCAAAGCTGTTTCTCAAGAGACTCGAATTTGGCACCGCGGGTCTCAGGGGCCGTATGGGACCGGGCTACAGCCAAATGAATGATTTAGTCATCGTGCAAACCGGTCAAGGATTAATCAAGTATTTGACGGACACGATATTCGATGTCGCGCTGAAAGGCGTCGTGATAGGATACGACGGTCGTTACAACAGCAAAAGGTGAGTACAGCCCCGTTCGCGGCTGTACTGTGATCCAACTCGAGATGTATATCGAGGATCTCTGTTAATCTTTCAGGTTTGCCGAATTGACCGCTGCAATCCTCATAGCCAACGGCATTAAGGTTTATTTATTTTCGAAGATATGCCCCACGCCGTTTATACCTTACGCTATTCTGAGATACAAGTGCGCGGCCGGCATCATGGTGACCGCCTCTCACAATCCCAAAGACGACAATGGATACAAAGTCTACTGGGAGAACGGGGCGCAGATCATCTCGCCGCACGACAAGAAGATTCAAAGCTACATTCTGAACAATCTCGTGCCGCTCGAGTCCTCGTGGGACGTGAGCGAGATCTACGAGAGCTCCTACTACAAAGATCCACAAGACGAGATTATGCAGCACTACTATCGAGACTTAAAGGATAACGTTCTGTATCCCGAGGTCAATAGAAATACCCCGTTGAAATTCACGTACACCGCTATGCACGGTGTTGGACAGGAGTATATGATCGCCGCGTTTGAGGCAGCAAACTTTAAGGTAGCACACTTTGTATACCGAAACGCAGTTTCAACGTTTTTCGAGAAAACAAACGGATACTCATCGTCCTGTTTGCTTCACAGCCGTTTGTAACAGTGGAGGAGCAAAAGCTGCCGGATCCGGAATTTCCCACGGTGAAATTTCCGAATCCGGAGGAAGGAAAGAGCGCTCTGGATCTTAGCATAAAGACGGCAAATAGAAACGACTCGTCCGTGATACTCGCCAACGATCCCGACGCCGATAGACTTGCGTGCGCGACGAAGACGGAGAGGTATTTGCGAACTCGCAATAAATTTAGATTGAACTGTTGATGGAACGGGCAATAGATGAGAATGCATTTTCATTGTGCTTACAGCGGGGAATGGCACGTCTTCTCTGGAAATGAACTTGGCGCGTTACTGGGTTGGTGGATGACTCACGCTTATCAAGTGATACATCCCGATATCGATATGAGTAACACGTACATGTTAGCGTCCACCGTTTCCAGCAAAATCCTAGCTTCAATGGGTAAGAAAGAAGGTTTTAATTTCGAGGTTTGTACTTTAACATATATATATATATATGTATACAGCAAAAAAATTGGATAATATAAGTTTCAAAAGAATATCGTTTGGTAGGAAACTCTGACGGGCTTCAAATGGATGGGCAACAAAGCTATAGAACTAATGAAGGATAATAAGGACATTTTGTTCGCGTACGAAGAGGCTATAGGCTTCATGTGCGGCTCCAAGGTCTTGGATAAGGATGGCATTAGCGCCGGTGTACGTGTAGCCGAATTGGCGGCTTATCTCGAAACGATAGGATTGACCTTATCTGATAAGCTGGCGGAGATATACGAGGAGTACGTTACGTCACGTTTATGTAAAGTCTGAAACAGATTTTTAACGCAATATTAATAAATCCCATTTATTTCACGACATACACAGATACGGCCATCATATCAGCGATAATTCCTATTGGATATGCCACGATCCGGATACCATCAAGGCGATATTTGAACGACTGAGGAATTATTCGGGAAAACCGGATGTAGTGAGTACTATTTTAATTTCTATTGCGTTCTAAAAGGGGTATTCTTTTCTTCTGTCTAATAATAAAGTTTGGGAAAATAGCTTGCATGCTAATTTGTGCTAAATCTGAATTGCCATCTATAACGTTGGCACTTCGACGACTTGATTTATATCTATACAACAAAAAGTATGTCATTGAAGATATGAAAAAAAATAATAAAAAATAAAATGTACATAATCGTGTAAATAGTTGTAAATAAAATTTTATGCGTAAAATAAATCTTGCACAGCATGTGCAGTTGCGTCACTCGCAAACACGTTACTTAAGACGTTTATAAAAGGACTTATCTGACAAGCCGTGTCTGATAGCAGTTCCGATTAGCAAAAACGAGATATCTTTCAAACGGTGTAAAAATATACTTGATATAGAGATGTAGCAGAGATTATGTAAAGCTAGTTTTCTCCCGCGAATACAACGGCGAGCGCCGGCTTTTATAAGCGGTATTCTAATTTGCGTCTAATGGTATATGCCTCGCAAGGTCAACAAGTATATGTGTGATGCATGAGGTAGCGTAAACTGGCCTAACCGCTTTGAAAGTGTAATAAAGCTCGACGCGCCGATGTATTTCTGCATGTGTCATCCTAGGTGACAGTTGTGTCGACAATGGCGCTTTATCGCTGTTCTCTCGTGATAAATTAATAATAAACACGATGTAAAACGTAAAGTGGTGTGTATTGAAAGTTATTCTCTTGGTTCAGTTTTTGGTTTGGATTTATTACACCTTGGTGCTCAATTATATTTATGTCTAACAAATTGATTTGTATTGTAGTGCATTAACTACTTTTTTCTTGGGCGTGTATATAATAACAGTCGAGCAAAATTACTTGCTAAAGGAATTTGCTTAATTTACATTTTCCTTTTCTTTTCTCTCTCTCTCTCGTTTCTGTACCAATGCTTGTTAAGATGACAAATAATAGTGTCTACGGCAAGTATACAAACGTAGTTGTTATATCATTAACGCTACTGCCTTCCGTGCTTCTCGCTGTTTTGTTTATTCCAGTAGTATTATCGTTATATCATCTCACACCATTTCTTGAGGATGAAACAGATACAAGTAGTAAGTATATACTCAAGATAAGTTTCTCTTAATTACTGTATTAATCAGGACTGTGTTAATTGCTTCGGCCGAAAAACAGATTCATTTGCACTTCTTTCGCCATCTCGCAATCAGTAATAACAAATAACAAGATATTAATGCATATAAAAAAATAGGAATTCTTTTTAAGACGTTTGAAAATTCTCAATATAGTCTTATGCTCTTTATCTAGGCTTTTTTCCCTTTTCTCACGCAAAGATTCTAATAATATAATTAATTCTAACTTGTTTAATGGCAGTACCCAACCGGAATTCTTAAAGGAAAGTATACAATAAGCGGCGTTCGAGACTTAACAACCGGATACGACAATACGAAACCCGACAATAAGGCAGTTCTGCCTGTATCGAAATCTAGCCAAATGATCACGTTCACATTTAAAAATGGATTGGTTAGTACTTTAAGGACCAGTGGCACGGAACCCAAAATCAAATACTACAATGAATTGTGTGGATCACCCGGAGAGTAAGTTCTTTGCGAGCACTACATATTTGCAAAAATATTCTTCATGCCTGTCTTGCTTTATTTAATTCTACTGGTACTTTATTTATAATTTAATGATATATTTTCTACAGCCTACTTTTAAAGCTTGCTTTGTATGTAGAAATTTAATATTTTCACGTTGTACGATGTAACATTTTGCTTTTAGGGATTTAAACAAATTGAAAGGCACTCTCAACGAAATGGTATCGGCTATCGTAGCAGAATTCCTTCAACCAGAAGTGAACGGACTTATCGCCCGCGGGGAATAAATTATGATAATTGTGCTATTGTATGCGTCTTGACTCAGCGATTAACTCATTCGAATCGGTGCATTATATATATATTTTTTTTTTACAAATACTTTGCAGTAAAAGGGCACCAGGTTTGTCCGTATCTTTTAAATTTATTCGAGCATTCGTGCTACAATTTATCGTTACGTTGTTAAGTTTTTAATGACTTTGCGATACATTAATTTAATTATATTGTAAAATGAAAGTGTGATGTTTCTATTGTAAGCCTACAATACAACAGAAAATGGCTGTGTACTTGTATATTACATACTGTTTTGTTCACTGTTAAAATTGTTGAGGAAAAGTTGGTTGTATGCGTTCACATATCTTTCCTGTTTCTATAATTAATACACTTGTTTGCGAAGCACAATGTGGAAGAAATGCACGTATATCCTATTCTACAATTTAGGAATTGAGTAGACAGAGCGGTAAATTTACAGGAATTGATAGATCATTACATATCTAACAATTAATTACGTGAAAAGAGTCCGTTTATTGGAAATTGTTAAAATTAATGACTTAAAATTAAAACAGCTGGAAATATTTATCAACATGAAACAAACTTGTACGTAGAGATCTTGTGTTACAAAAATTTTTTAATGATATATTTAAAAATTATATACAAAACACGTCGGTAAGAGAAACTCTCCCCGGAGGAAGGATTTATCTCGTGCGCCGTTCGATGGCAGCGTAGTGGCGTATCGCCGTTCGCACGGCGTTCTATGTATCCCGTAAACGGCTTTCCGGTGTGGCGTGTTCGTGGTTATTTGTTATCACAATTTTCTCTCTCTCTTCTTCACTCTGTATACGTGTGTGTACGCGTCGATTATCTGTCATCCGTCGTCCCTCCAACGCTCGACCGTCGTCGGTACGCAGGAGAGACACAGAGAAGAAGAAGGAAGTAAACTCGCGGACTCGAGAGACTTCGGGAGAGAGAAAAAAGTCGTCGCCAGTCGCAACGCTCCACTGCAGATCCGCTCGCATGACGGTGACACCCACGTCGGCGGGTCGAGCGGAATCGCACGCGGAATGACGCGCTCGCGGCTGTCACGCTCGTGAGTGAACGGGCCAGACGGACACACGGGACGGACGGGGAATCGCCGACGTGGTGTCGTCGCGCGAACATGTCACCGCAGCCATCCCGGCGAGGGGATCGCGAGCAGAAGAGAACGACAGACTTGAGCCGCGCCGCGGGGTTCGCCGCGCCCGGATCTCGGGGGCTTCAGCAGCAGGTACGCCGCACCCGCTGAGATGAGAGGTCAAGCAACTCGGGAGGGGGGCCCCCTTACTTCCGAGCAGCTGCCCCCGCGAATGTGCCGTCGTGTGTATGCTTTCCATCCCGGTCTCTCGCGCGGACAACGCGAGAGCGGCGTGTATGTGTGTGTCTGTATGTGTGTGTGTGTGTGTGTGTGTGTATCCATTGCCATTCTCTTCTCCTACACGTGATAATTGCGAGTAACGTTATAACTTTCGACTTGCAGCTTCGCAGATAATACACGCATACCGCAAAAGTCTACGTCGGCCCTACGTCGGAAATGACACGAGCCGACCTGTGAATTTTGACGGAAGCGCGCGTATATATCCGGATTTGCGTCGACGCCGATATTATTAGAGCGGTATATCGTTTCACGCGCGCCTTCGACCACATCCTCCTTTTCCTTCTCTCCTCCGGTGAATTTATTATGCTATCATCATGACCACAATACCGCTGACTGATAAACAGCTTCATCAACTGGTGAGTCAAAGAGATCGCGCTATATACACGTTGGAGTATCGCACAATTATCTCATATCCTGAATTAGTTGGGAATTATGTATAGACGGCACCCGCGGAGCGTCCCTTTAAAAAAAAAGTTAGCAAGAAAAAATCATTCGGATATCCACCCGGTGAAACTTAAATTATTCATCCCTCTTGATTTTTTTTTTGTCACGCAAACATATGATTGTTGTTTATAGAGCATTAGCATCGGGAAAGCCGTAAACGCGACGGAGACGCCGGTCAAGGAGAAACATGTTCGAAGTATCCTTTTTCTAATAAAAATAAAAAAAAATTTTAAAAAAACATAATATACCCATAATATTTATTATTAATACATATCTGAGAGATGTGCAACCGAGAGAGAAAGAGGAAAGTTCCTTATAAGAGCGAAACAGGTGCCATTATTGGTACATACCGAGAGAAGAGCGGCAGCATCTTCTGGACGTATATGCTGAGACAACCGTTGCAGGAGAATCAGATCGTTGCGTGGAAATTTTGTCATGTTCTGCACAAGGTGCTGCGCGAGGGGCATCCCCGGGTCGTCGTCGATTCCCAGCGGTATCGCGGCAAGCTGGAGGACATCGGGAAGCTCTGGCAACACCTCCGAGAGGGCTACGGTCGTCTCATACAGCTGTACGCAAGACTGCTAATAACTAAACTAGATTATCACAAGCGGAATCCGCGCTTACCGGGGAATTTGCAAGTAACGCCGGAAGAGCTCGAAGCAATTGGAGAAAATGATATTAATATATAGTGAGTCACGTTCTTTTTCACAACTTTAACGAATGTAATGGTATTTATATGTATAATTTATTTATTCTTTTAGCTTCCAGATGTCTGTCGAAATGTTCGATTATATGGACGACATCTTGAACTTGCAGCATGCAGGTACGCCCAAACTTAATGTGTTTGATATATTCCGCAATCGCTCATGGTCTCGTTTGAGAATATAAACTTTCTATACAGAGCAGCGCGTTGATTGAATTCTTTGACTATATAAATATGGACTGCTAGTCCCCCCGATTTTACTATGTAAAAAACATATGCCCAGTGTCGCCGAGCTGAAGTTGAGGTATCGAACTTCGATTTTTAGGCTCCACCCCAGTCAGTAAAAAAAATATCAAATATCTGTCAAAATGTATTAAATGTTATGTTGAAAATTGATAGGGAGCCAAAAAAAATCTCAAATCGACGGAATGAAATTAAAAACAAACTCAGCACCTTTTCTTTACACGTCGTAAACACGCTGATTTCACAGGAGCCTTCCCCCTCCCCGCAGAAAATTACTGACTGAGGTGGAGTCTACATCTTTCAGCTTGGCGACACGTGTGAAGTTAATTACTATCAGTCCATACTTATATAGTCAAAGATTGAATTCTCTATTCGCAGTTTTTGGTTCTCTGGATCTATCCCGATCGAATTCGATGACACCGTGCGGCCAGTGTCGACTCGCGCCTTTAATTCCGTGCATCCAGGACGCGTCGCAGCTGTACGATTGCTGTGTGAAAATCCTGTTCAAACTCCACGGCGCGCTGCCGGCGGACACGTTAACCGGACACCGCGATAGATTCTCGAAGCAATTCCACGAGCTGAAGAGCTTTTACAATACCATCAAACATATGCAGTATTTTAAACATTTGATAGCAATTCCGTCGTTACCTGAGGTAAGGTGTTTAATCAGCTAATTAATATATATGAGAGAATTTCGCGCGTTATATATATCACATTTATTGTATTTATTTCAGAAGCCACCCAACTTTTTAATACAAGCCGAGTTGAGAACGTACGTCACGCCGATAGTGGTACTTCCGCCCGAAGCGTCTATAGATGCCGAGACTGCCATAGAAAACCTTATCGATACATCCGATACAGGGTCGTTGACGGGCGATCAGTTGGATTCTGTGAATACGCGAAACGGCTCAATATCTCCTGATACTCTTGCAGAAAGGTAATACAAGATTAACATTTCTTTCTTTTTTTCTGTATTTATTTGTATTTTTGTATTATTTTTTCCTAATTGAAATGGACAAGACACACGATTATAACTTTTGTATATCTTTTCTCTTGCACAAATATGTGCTCTTTCAGAGACAGCCTTATCGATCATTTGTATCAAGAAAATGTTCGTCAGAGGCAAGAAGTAAATCACTTGTTAATGGACCATCAGCAAATAGTTGCGGAATTTAGAAATCGTGTTCTAGAATTGGAGTCGACTCTTTCTACTAAAGTAAGCGCAACTTATCACGCAATTTTAATAACTCCACTCTGTTTCGCGAACTAATTGTTGTGCAAATATTTTAGAGTAACGAGATTGTAATGGAGAAGCAGACTTGTCAGAAATTAATAAAGGAAAACGCAGCTACGGTACTAAAAGTTCAAGAAATTGAAGGTTGGTTAAATTTTAATTTATCTCTTTTACGATTTTATAAGATTGTGCATTATTTATTAAAAATCGTGCATTTTAAATGTTTCTAAATGATTAATTTTATTCTCGTTAAATTTGTTTTTAAGGAAAAAATGAAGTTTTAGAGGAAAAGTTTAAGAAACTCAAGGATGTTTATTCCAAACTGAGAGAAGAGCATATCGGTTTGATCAGAAAGGTACGTATTTGAGATATCGATAAAAAATCGGTGATAAAAAAGAAAGATTATCATATTCGTTGTTTTACCCACGATATCTTTACACACGAAAGAAAGCTGAACTCGACAAAGAATTTGGAGGAATAAAGATAGAGCGAGAGCAATCTGAACGTCGGACGTTGAAAGCGGAAGAGCGATTGCAAGAGTTGCTTCAAGGGCAAGCGTCGACGGAACAGGAGACGCAGAGAGTGGCGCAGGCGCGCGAGGATTTGGAGGATGTGAGGAAGAAACTTGACGCTGCTCAAACTGAAAATTTGGTAGGATTTTGTTTTTAAGTGAATGCTTTAATTGTTAATTATTCTAGGCGCGCTAATAAGAAAATTTGTTGTAGGCGTTAATAGCAAAGATAGATTTTATTACGTCCGAGAAAACGGCTTTGGAAGGCGATCTCCATGATTTGCTGGTACAAAAGGAAGAGTTGGATTTACGAATAGTAAATCTGGAAACTGACGCCGAACGGTCCCATAATCAGATGAAAACGGAGACCAACACGATTTTGTACGATTTATTACGTGAGTAATAATGCGATTGAATAAATATTCTTGCTGAAATAAATTTGTTAAAATTAATTCAGGACTGTAAAGGAAAAATTGTTTGTTTCAGTGAATGCTATATCGGAGGCGGAATCTATCTTGCATCACGCGATGCATGCGATCGATAATCCGGCCATATCGGCGCTAACTTGCACGCCCGATTATCTCGCAAGTTTGTTCGAGCCGACCGAAAAATCGTTTAATGATTTGGAGGAGGCATACAACACTTATATGCTCGATACAACGAAGGGAAAAACGTTAATTCGCACCGCCGTGCATAGCGCATACTTTCTGGCTCTCTATCTGATATACGCAAAATCTACTTCGAATACATCGACGGATATTGGTCTGGCCGACAGTAAGTTCTTTTACGACCTCTTACGATCGCATGATGATGCTTTAAATATTTTGGGGGCAAGATGTTACCTTGAGAAACGTGAAAAGTGTTGACCAAAAATTAATACTGTCCCTTGGACATTTTGAAATGAGAATTGCGAAAAATATTCTGGAGTGTATATAACAATTTTTTTTAACGCTTTCTATAAGACTCGTCGTACACTTGTAGGATTTGCCGATGAATGCAAACAATTAGGCTCGCAAGGTTTAATTATGTTGAGTTATGTCAAAGAGAAGTCCTCAATGACCGGTGCGCAAATTGCAAATGTCAAAAGTCAATTACAAAAGATTTCGTCTCTCATAAGTACGTTATCGACTACTCAGAACAATGTGGAAATTATCGGAACTTTAGTAGAAAGCGAGTTGCAGAGTATGGATAAAGCTATAGAAGAAACGGTTGCAAAGATACAGGTGCTTAATGATAAGAATACTTGCGAGATGGGGAGAAAGTGAGAAAACAAGCCTTTAATCTCGATTCCTTTCGGTTTACTTTCAATTAGGACATGTTGGATAAATCTCGCGCGGCGGACTCGGGTTTGAAACTAAAAGTGAACGAGCAAATCTTGGATTCCTGCACGGATCTAATGAAGTGCATAAGAAAATTAGTGCAGAAGTCTCGCTTTCTGCAGAAAGAGATTGTGGAACAGGGACGGGTATGATGAGCTTATTTTAACAATTGTTTGGACATGCGAACTGTAATATCTGTATCTTGTAGTAGACATAAATAATTGACACAAAAAAATTATAATTGGATATCATGACGATACTTTGTTTAGGGAACCGTTTCCGCAACTGAGTTTTACAAACGTAATCATCAGTGGTCTGAGGGTCTTATCTCGGCGGCGAAAGCGATCGCTATGGGCGCAAACTTTTTGTTGTAAGTGCCAAATAGACCAGAGTGCAATTAATCTAGGTTCTCCAAACGTAGTTTACACGCGTGCATACGTATTGTGTTACAGAGAAGCGGCGGATAAAGTTGTGTTGGGCAACGGCAAATTCGAGCAGTTGGTTGTTGCCTCGCAAGGAATTGCGGCATCCACCGCGCAACTGGTGGTTGCCAGTAGAGTAAAGGCTGACAGAAATAGTAACAATTTGACTGAACTCTCTAAGGCTTCGAGAGAGGTGACTCAAGCTACAGCGAACGTTGTGGCGACTGCTAAAAGCTGCAATCATCTTGTCGAGGAGAACGGTAATTTGAGGACATTAATCGAATTATCATGCCGCGCCATCGCTTGCACCGCGTTTCTTAATATTCCTGTATCCCTGAAATTTTGCAGAAGATCTAGATATGTCTAATCTGAGCTTACATCAAGCTAAACGACTCGAAATGGAGGCGCAAGTGCGAATCTTGGAGCTGGAGCAGGCTTTGGAAACCGAGAGATTACGTCTATCCGCTCTTCGACGTTATCATTACCAGCTTGACGGTGAGAACGAAGCGTAAGCTGAGAGAGAGAGAGAGAGCATGGATTTGAATATAGATTAAAGATATTCAACCAACGCGAAAAATTGTATGTAGATAAAAGGATTGTAGCAACCGTGTAAATTAGTCTCGACTAACCATGATAGAGATCGGTTTCTCCGTTAGAAGTGAAACTTTTATTATTCATTTACTACTATCAGCATTTACGTATTATGCATGTCTCGAAGATCAACGATAATTTTCCGTCGTATTATAGGGATCGATTAAATGTACTTTATTGAATATGATGCTCGAGTATATCGATCGTATATCGAATGATTTTTACGGTTTTGCCGCTTTTTTATTCTTCCAGAATCATTTTTTTACATTCACTTTTTATTTGATACGAACGAGCATTTATAAGATAAGGTACATTTTTATGCGAATAAATTTAATGAGCAATGAAATTCAAAATGTCTAAACGCGAGTTTCTATTATATTTGGAGTAATTTTATAAGAGAATCGTGTTTTTTCTAAACAAATATATATATATATATATATATATATATATATATATATATAAAAGGAGGATTGTATGTTAAGTGACGAATACCTGAAACTTTACAGATTTACAAAGTTTACTAACTCGTTAGATATACGTGTGAGGTATCTTCATTTTCAAGTTAAAAACGATTCGTGTGTTGCATAGTAATTAATTTAAGCTAAAGCGTAAATTAATTAAATTTCCACTATGTTTTCCCCCTTCCTGGCGATGGTCAATGTTACGGGAGATTCAACGTATGAGTGAGAGAGAGAGAGAGAGAGAGAGAGAGAGTGAAACTTAACATATGAAATTCCTCTAATGGTCTTACCAAAGTTATTATTTTATAAACACAATTTTCTCAATAAACCATCGAGAGAATGAAAATCTGTGTGTTGCTGACTTTCACACAAGTTTAGTATAAATGCGTCTGCATTAGCGCAATTTCCTTTTATTTGTAATTATGTAATAATTATGAATCACATTAATATAATGTATAGAAATTAAATAGAAACAAAACTCTGTGTATCAAAAGGATCTATACCTGATGTGATTTGTTTCGACCAATTATGCATACAATCTGGAAATTCAAAATTTATACGGTTAGCTAATAATATAATATTAATTTTATAATTATATATGTATGAGGAAACAGCTATATAATAAATCATAAATCAAAAGTCCTACGTTTAATAATATAACCAGATGTTTATATCGTCGGTCGATAAACAAATGTCGCGACAGTAGAGTGTGTGTCAATGTTCTTCCCGCGTTATCCCCGGATTTAATTTACCCGTCGAGCAGACAACACTTGCGGTTTTACCGAGCGGAATCCGGCGACGGCGGCCGCTCGCAGCATGGCGTCGGCCGAGACGTGTGTCATCCTGGAACGCGGATGAGAAGCGCGGTGTACGCTTCGTGTTTCGCGCCTTCTCGAAGGGATTTTCGCGCATACATATGTCTCGCGCATTAATGAAACTCCTCTCGTGAGAAGGGCGCGAGGACAGGTGAGAGCCCGGGGAGAGGGGGAGAGGGGTAAAAAGAGACACGAGACGAGAGTGGTAAAAAACGCGGTGTTGGATATACCTCGAGCGGCGGGGGATCGCCGTGTCGAGTATCGGCGGCGTTCTCGGGATTCCGGCGGCGGCGGAGTGCGGACTCGCGCATTCCGGATATGGCGGCAAATTTCGGTTGGAATGCAAGGCGATGATGGGGCCCGGGCCGGGCGCGGGAGAGAAAGAGAGAGGGGAGGTGCGTCGAACGTCGTCCTCCCGTCCCGTGTCGCGAATCCGCACGCGGTGAGAGTAGAGGAGACAACCCGGGACAACACCGGGTTGATAATCGATGGTCGCTAGCGTAAGGGGCGGCGAAAAACGGCGTTCAAAAGTCCCACATCGGCACTGCGCCCCGTCGTGTGGACTGCACACGTCGGCCGCCGCGTTTCGAAGCGCAGTGGCGACTTATCATGGCGGCGTGATTTTTTTTTTTTAGCTACCAGTACCGTGTGTGTGCTCTTCGCTCGCGCTCGCTCGCTCTCTCTCCGTCTCTCTCCCCCTTTCTTTCCCCCCCCCCTCCCTCCTGCGCGCCGTATAGGTGACGTTCTCTCCTCCTTCGAGGAATTCAACTCGTCAGAACGTTAACTAACGCGCACGCGAGTCGGAACGTGGGACCGCCGAGTATACGCGTGTGAGAGGCGGAAAAACCCCCGCGTCCTACCTCATCCCCGGGACCTGGCCCGCGCCGCACGTCGCCGCGGACCAGGGAGAGACGACGTCGTGCGCCTCGGATAGTAGCGGCGCGGCGGCGATCCGACGTGCTGCAAAGGCCCCCGCGTTTTAGTTCAAGAACCCTTTTTATGTGCACACACACGCGCGCACACGTACGCGAACGTATGTGTATGCGCGCCGTGTACATTTGTTTACAAATTTTGTGCTTTCCTACCGCCGGCCGACAGGGAACCCCTGTAACGGTCCCCACGACGTCGCGATCGCGGCAGCGTTCAGGCGGACGATGTAGCGGCGCCCTGTTGTAGATACACCGCTAAAGGGATCACCTGTCCAACTTGTATACACCCTGTGTGACTTTTTCAAGATACGCCGAGGATGAACAAGCGGCGTAGAACGTCGTCGGTGGCGAGCCGCGGCGCCGAGGACGACGGCGACGATATCCCGCCGGAGCCGACGAAGAGGAGGAAAAAATTGGATCCTGTGAGTGTGTGTGTGCGTGCGCGCCTTCCTGACGTTTCCTGCGCCCCGCGATCTTGTATTTCTAGCATAAATCGAGTACCCCGTACACGCGCTAATAATCTCTTTACCTTGTACAGAGCGACTTATGCCAACAATTGTACGATATACTTCGTAATCAGAAGAAGGAGGACGGATCCCTGCTGTGCGACGCGTTCATACGTGTGCCGAAACGCAGGCAGGAGCCAGGTTACTACGAGGTTGTCTCCAATCCTATAGATCTGTTGAAAGTGCAGCAAAAGCTCAAGACCGACGAGTATCGCGATATGGACGACCTCGCTGCTGATATTCAGCTTATGGTGAACAACGCCAAAGCTTTCTACATGGTAAGATCTCTTATTCCACTCAATTGTGTCATTTTAGTTTTTAAATAATCGTCAGAGCAGTGCATAAGAGGTTAATTATTGTTACTGCTAGTCATTTACCTCCTAGCGATTGAGTTCTTCCTGTTATGCATAATAATTTTTGTAGCGTACCTCCCCTGAATACAAAGATGCGACTGAACTGTGGGAATTGTGTGTAAATACTAAAAATCGTATTATGGAAGAGTACGAAGAGCCAGAACCTAAAGGAAAACTCATTCTAAAAGTTGGAAGATTGGTAATGTTTGACGATTTACTCGAGTTCTCAGTTGTTGGGCATGTGACGCCATACATTGCGATGAGATTATTAATCCATTGATCCATGTTTAGGCGCGTAAGGTAACGACGCGGCAGGACGACGCGGAGGACACTTCGGAGAGTTCAACGAATCTCGATGAGGAAACTATGCAGCAGTTTGAAGATTTGTTCGCAGCAGTTATGACGGCGACTGATCCCACTGACAATAACAGACCGCTTCATCTTATGTTTCAACTCAAACCATCCAAGAAGGTTCGTCCGCCTTTAAATCCATCCTTAAATCGTCCCCAGAATTGACCGTAGCCGTCGCTTATCTGCAATCTCAATTAATGTCGCAGCTCTATCCGGAATATTACGACGTCATCGAGACACCGATCGACTTGAAGACCATCGCGAGGAAGATTCAGGAGGGTGCGTACAGCTCGCTCGGCGACATGGAGAAAGATCTAATGCTCATGTGCCGTAACGCCTGTCAATTCAACGAGCCTGGCTCGCAAATTTACAAGGATGCCAAACTTCTGAAGAAGATAATCACCGCGGCCGCGAGAAGGCAGGACAGCGGGTTCGGCAGCAACGCCCTCAAGATCGCTACGACCGCACCGTCGACGAGAAGCAAGAGGGGCAGTCGTACCATGGCGCAATCCTTAATAGCGCAAACTGCGACGTTGCGTGATGAAGATGACGAGAGCGATGATGAGGAGGAAGAGCCTGCTGAGACTGAGGAAGCTGATAATCCACAATGGCAACTGTTTCAAACCATTCGGACAGCTCCTAATAATCAAGGTATGCATGAAATAATATTATGAACACGGTCGCCACCTCTCTGGTTTTCATCCAGAGACTTCGGTTTATTCAACAAATCTCTCCGGCTTTCCGGCACACGAAAATAATCTCCGGGCGAGCGCTTTAAATTTTTACAACCTTCTCTTTGGGTAAACAATGATTTTTTTGGGCTCATTGAAAACATCTTTGGCAGGAGAGCCAATTTTGATCTTTTTTTTTTGAGAATATCTACTTTGAAAGAATTTTTAATAGTCTGGTTAAAATTAATGATTTTCTAGCAGAACATTAATACATGTTCGGCACAATACTCATTTAAGATGGCAACCGTGATTATGAATTTATAATCTTGTTACAGAATTTTTGGTATAATGACATAACTATGTGTTGTTGCTTACAGGTGTAAGGATGAGCGAATATTTTTGGAAGCTTCCATCAAAGAGATTATATCCTGATTACTATAAGACGATTAAGAATCCTATATCTTTATTACAAATACGTACAAAAATAAAGGTATGTATTATATCACGATAGAATAATTTTTTTTTTTTTTTTTTTTTAATACTATATTCTTCTATTGAAGGTCAGTACTATAATTATCTTTAATTATGATTTTCAGAGAGGTGAATATGGTACTGTTAGTGAAGTAGCTGGAGATATGAATATCATGTTTGAAAATGCTAAGAAATATAACATGCATACTTCTCGACTATACAAGGTAATAATTTTGTGGCTTACACATTTTATTTGAAGTTAATTGCAATCACATTTAATTACATATATGATACAAAAATATTAAAGTAGACAAAATTAATTATTAATAACGTATGAATGATCTTCATAATTTTTTGTCAAATTTCGAAGAATTTAGCGATCGAATAAAAAATCTCAGGGAATGTTTGCTTTAATATACAGTAATCGCAGTACAATTATTCACATGTATTTTCCGTTTTATTACAGTGTGCTGCTAAATTGCAAAAAATAATGCAAGAGAAAGTACAAGAACTCTTAGAATTCGATCAGGTAATATGCCGCATAAATTGATTGACGATAATTTTATCACAGTATTTTTGCACGAGAAGCGGATGTAATATATCAAGCTTTCATTATCTCTGTAGGACTCCGATTCGGACAGCGAATCCGAGAACAGCTCGCAGCAGCCTAAATTGATTAAACGCGCTTCGAATTTACTGACACGGGGGAAATACAAAGACAATATACCGCTGAAGAAGCGATTGTACGCATTGGTCAAGTGTGTCATAGAATACGTTGTAAGTAATTCCAAAATACGTTACATTTGATATATTCGGTCGACGTATAGCATGTGTCGTATCGTGTTACAGTGCGAGGACGGTCGGCAGCCCATGTTAATGTTTATGGAGAAGCCTTCGAAAAAATTGTACCCGGATTACTATCAAGTGATAGCAGAGCCCATAGACATGCTTGCGATCGAAGCCAATATCAAAGTGGAGAAGTATCAAAATGAGAACGAATTAATACAGGACTTTAAGGTATTTGTCGTTTGAATTATTTAAAAAAAAAATCACACCAGCTGGCGATGGAGATATTTACGAAATCCCTCGTCTTTAGTTGATGTTTAACAATTGCCGCCAATATAACGAGGAAGGCTCGTTGATATATGAGGACGCCAATACATTGGAGAAAGTTTTGATGGATAAGGTGAAGGAGTTGGGACCCCTGCCGGACACTCCTAGGTCCAAGTCCTCCGCATCAACCCCAACCAGAAACGTCGGGTATGTCGATAATATATACGAAAAAAAAGGAGGTAACAGTGCTTATTTTGTTTTAGTCTTCTCTCTACCTCTCTCTCTTTCTCCCCCCGTCTATGTTCAGGAGACCGAAAAAGATAGTACCGCTTCATCTGCAAAAGTTGCGTACCCTATACGACACGATAAAAGATTACCACGACGCAAAGGGGAGGCAGCTGTCCCTAATTTTCATGAAATTACCAAATAAAAATGAATATCCAGATTATTATGAGGTGATAAAGCAGCCTATACACATGGAGAAGATAGCGTCCACTTTAAAGAATAATGGATATGACAATTTGGACGAATTGGTGTCCGATTTTATATTAATGTTTGACAACGCTTGCAAGTATAACGAGCCGGACTCGCAAATATATAAGGTTTGTATAGCCAAGGTCCTTCATTCCGTAAGCATTTTATATATATATTTAAAAAAGTATATATTATCTTATTTACTGAAGAATCTGCACGTATTATCGAGATTTATTAACGTTATTAATAATTGATAATACTTCAAAATTTTGATGCAAAGTCAAGTAGCTTGGAATTGCAGTTAGCTAAAGATTGACAATATGCAATTACTTGGTGTTGCATTGTTATCTCATTTATTGAAGAATCTATATATATTATCGAGTATAATAATTGATAAGAATACTTCAAAATTTTGATGAAAGATCAAGTAGCTTGGAATTGTGATTGGCCAAAGATTGACAATATGCAACTACTTGGTGTTGCATTGTTATCTTATTTACTGAAAAATTTACATGTATTATCGAGATTTATTACGTTATTAATAATTGATAAGAATACTTCAAAATTTTGATGAAAGATCAAGTAGCTTGAAATTGCAGTTGGCCAAAAATTGACAATATGCAATTACTTGGTGTTGCATTGTTATCTCATTTACTGAAGAATCTATATATATTATCGAGATTTATTAACGTTATTATTAATTAATAAGAACACTTCAAAATTTTAATGAGAGATCAAGTAGCTTGGAATTGCAGTTGGCCAAAAATTGACAATATTTAATTACTTGGTGTTGCATTGTTATCTCATTTACTGAAGAATCTATATATATTATCGAGGTTTATTAACGTTATTAATAATTAATAAGAATACTTCAAAATTTTGATGAAAGATCAAGTAGCTCGGAATTGTAGTTGGCCAAAAATTGACAATATGCAACTACTTGGTGTTGCATTGTTATATCATTTATTGAAGAATCTACATATATTATCGAGATTTATTAACGTTATTAATAATTGATAAGAATACTTCAAAATTTTGATGAAAGATCAAGTAGCTTGGAATTGCAGTTGGCCAAAAATTGACAATATGCAACTACTTGGTGTTGCATTGTTATCTCATTTATTAAAGAATCTACATATATTATCGAGACTTATTAATGTTATTAATAATTGATAAGAATATGTACTTCAAAATTTTGATGCAAGATCAAGCAGCTTGGAATTGCAGTTGGCCAAAGATTGACGATATAGTCAAAATTTTGAAGTATTCTTATCAATTATTATACTCGATAATATATATAGATTCTTCAATAAATGAGATAATAATGCAACTATTTGTGTTGCATTATTATCTCATTTATTGAAGAATCTATATATATTATCGAGTATAATAATTGATAAGAATACTTCAAAATTTTGATGCAAGATCAAGCAGCTTGGAATTGCAGTTGGCCAAAAATTGACAATATGCAACTACTTGGTGTTGCATTGCTATTTCATTTATTGAAGAATCTACATATGTTATTGAAGTTTTATTAACGTTATTAATAATTGATAAGAATACTTCAAAATTTTGATGCAAGATCAAGGAGCTTGGAATTGTAGTTGGCCAAAAATTGACAATATGCAAATATTTGGTGTTGCATTATTATCTCATTTACTGAAGAATCTACATGTATTATCGAGATTTATTAACATTAATAATAATTGATAAGAATACTTAAAAATTTTGAGATCAAGTAGGTAGGAATTATAGTTGGCCAAAGATTGACAATATGCAACTACTTTATGTTGCATTAATTTTCAGTTGCAAAGTCTAATTTTTTTTAAGCATTTTTACACTGAAAGATATTGAAAATGTTACACTCTAAAATAAGATCCCTTTATCCATCTTTAATAGACACAGAAGCATTGCCTACTTCCTTAGTGACATACAATTCTAATTGATTTTTTATGTTGAATGTTTTCCATATATCATCAGGAAAGTTAACTTAGAGTGTTAATTAAGCTCTACTTAATTTAAGTAAGCCTGAGATCTCTTGCCAATATTTAATTTGCAGGAAATTGATTTCTAACTTGCAAAATATTTATTTTTTTTTATAATTCTTTAGAAGAGCTAAAAATATGTTGATAACTTATCAGCGACATTAATTTAATTAATACTGAGAAAATTGATTTGAGAGCTTAGTATCCAAACTTGACAAATTTTAGACTGAAATTCCAATACGAAATACAGATTCTCGAATCGAGAGAGAGAGAGCAGTCGCGGAGACGGAGAACTTCAGTTGAAATTTCGCGGCAAAAGATGGAAAGGCCCCAATCTGTTTACCGTCGAAGTTTGGAGGTTACGTGAGGCTTCCTCCGCCGTTCTCCCATTTCATCCCGTCGTACAAAGCCTTTTTATCGAACAATGCTCTAGCTTATTCACGCGAGACGCGCGGCACGCGACATTTTTATAAATTTAAACAATTGTACATATAATTTTAACCGTCGCACGCCACGATGTTCATACATTTTAACCTTGTTACCAATTAGCGCATTTTTATCGCGATTTTCTCCCCGAATCTTTCGCACGGCGTGCCTTCGAATCCTTTAGCAGCGAGCTCCGGTCGCGTGCACGCCGAAATTCCCCGCAGAGGATGTTCCCGCAGAGCAACCCGGGCGTGTTGGACGGTAACGCGGCGCAAAACCCGTTGAAAGTGCGGCCGTGTTTCATACGCCTGTTGAGAGACAAGGAGCTGGACAGGCACATAAAAAGATACAAAAAGACCGAGACAGAAGTAAACAGACAAATACAATTCTTACTCTCCGTATTATTTTGAATGTCTTTTCGCTGGCGCGACGGCCTTTCCTTTCGTCAGTTCGGCACTGGCGGGTGTGCAGGTATCGCAGTGGAATTGACAGCGTTTATAATCGACGTTTCAGGATGCCTTGATACTCCAGAGATTGGTGCTGCAGAGCAAGCTGCAATTGAGCGAGGACGAGGAGAGCGTGCCCGACGTGTCGGCTGCCGTACAGGAGATACTGGCGACAATATTCACCGCCCTTTACAATCACCAGGATGAGGAGGGCAGGTGTTACTCCGACTCCATGGCCGAGCTGCCGGAGCACGATATCGTCGACGGCAAGAAGTACGAGTGCGCTTATGATTATTTTCCTCTCGTTTTTCATCGAGAAGACGAAATCCTGTTGTTTATTATTAGGATTTAAAGATTCATGTGCGCGTAAAACGAGGGCTTTTATGTTGGAAAACAGAGTACGGGGCCTGTCGTTGGATTTGATCAAGAGGAGATTGGATCGCGGGGTTTACAAGAGGCTGGATCGATTCCAAGAGGACGTTTTCACGTGCCTGGAGCGAGCGCGGAGACTGTCGCGCACGGACTCGCAGCCGTTTGAGGACAGCGTGGAGCTGCAGGCCTTCTTTCTACGTACCCGCGACGAGGTGACCCGCGGCGGGGATCTGTTGCACTCACCCGCGTTAAACTACACGCTTCTCGACCTGTCCGGTCAGGTGGCGGAGCTTAAGAGAATTAAGCAGCAACAGGAGTTGAATTTGCCCAACGAGGACGAGAGTTGCGATGGAAATGAGACAAAGGTAAGTTAGAGCTTCTTGCTTTATACTAGGGCTGTTTCTTACTATTACTACTATACTAGTACTACGATACTAGTACTTTTTCAATACACACACGCACGCACACACCACCCACACACATGCACACACGCACGCACGCACACACACAGGGTGTCCCCGTAAAGTGGCCACCCCTTTTTATCTCGTAAACTAACAGAGATAGACTTAATAAATATAATAACGGCTCTGATTAAACTTTATTGTAAGCACAGTGATCACTTAGAAACATTATCTATGTTAGAAAGCGGAGAAACATGCGTAATTTTTGCAATGTAAAATGACAACTTTAATAGATAAAAGTTGTAGCGTTTTTTTTTTTATGAATACAATGATGTGTGACATAACGACATTATCTTACAAATTATACAAATTATTTTGATTTAAAGTTTTACGAGCGACTATTACCTTTTCAGTTTCGGCCCTGCGGTGTGGCTAACTTCCGACTTTCGCGTTGACGATTGACGTGTTAATGTTTTCATCTGATCATAATACTCTCGTCAATGTCAGAGTCGGAAGTTGGCCACATCGCAGGACCGAAATTGAAAAGGTAGTAATCGCCCACAAAACTTTAAACCAAAATACCTGTTATAATTCGTAAGATAATTTTGTTATATCATACATCGTTGTATTCATCAAAAAGAACGCTACAACTTTTATCATATTAAAAGTGTCACTTTACCGTGCAAAAATTAATCATGTCTTTAACATAGATAATATTTCTAAGTGATCACTGTGTTTACAATAAACTCAGGGTCGTTTAAATTGATATAATATTTATTAGGTCTATTTCTGTTAATTTACGAGATAAAAAGGGGTGGCCACTTATATGAGAACACTCTGTGTGTGTGTATATGTGTTTATGTGTGGAGGAGGCGTTACTTTTTAGTTTTTACTCACTTCGAATTTTCGAACCTTCGACGTTAATTTCGATCTTTCGAAGTTTCGTAGTTTTGAAAAATACATTAAAAATTTGAATTTTCTTAATTGGATTGTTTTATTGATCATTATCTTTCCTTATTTACACATGTATCAAGTTTAATTATTAATATTTCAGGTTATAATACTTTCAAATTTTTTAGGAATAATTTTGTATATATATTAATTCTTTTTATTTACAATATTTATAAATTTTCTGAATGAATTTATCATTTGCACAAATGTATTTTTTGAAACTTCGAAGCTCGAATATCGAAGCCTTCGAAGCAATCACTAGCCCCTACTTTATACGAGATGTATTTGCGAGTTTGACAGCTCTCTTCTTGTTATGTAATTTAAAATGTTTTCTACTCTTGCGCAGGACTCTGAAACGAATACGAATACGGACACGAACAATACCGACAACGGGGGCTCTATGAGCTTCAATCAAGAAGTGTACAGGGCCGGTGACTTTACGTACATTGAGCCTACCGAGAGAGGCATGGAGTACAGCGTGGTTCTCATAGAAAGGCTTTGGACCAATGCGGATGGCCAGCAAATGTTGTACGGGAACTTGTTTTACAGGCCCAGCGAAACGTATCACGTGGCGTCGCGGAAATTCCTGGACAAGGAGTTATTCAAGAGCGACGCTCACGTGGCGGTACCTCTGGCGAAAGTGGCCGGCAGATGTTGCGTTCTGAGCGTGAAAGATTACTTTCGAATGCAGCCGGAAGGCTTCCAGGAGAAGGACGTCTACGTATGCGAATCGCGCTACTCCACCAAGGCCCGTGCGTTCAAGAAGATCAAGGTCTGGAATTTCGATCCCGATCACCTGTCATTGGTGCCCCGGGAAAAGCCGTTGGAGCCGAAACGAGTGATCTCGGTGTACAAAGAACGGCTGGAAAAGCACAAAGAGGAGATCGCTGAGCTGGAGGAGGGGGAGAAGTTGATGGAAAAGGAAAGACCTGTTAGTAACGGAATCAATGTCTTCTTTCATTTTCTCGAATTATCAGCTCTTTCTCACTTTAATTATTTTAAATTAATTACGCTGCTTAACGTGTTTTTTTTTTATCTTGCAGAATGTGATATTGTACAATCCAGATGATACCGAGAACACGTATTACGAGCAGTACGGCACATGCGCGGGATCTGTGAAAACTGGCGATTTCGTTTATGTAGCGACAGACGGGGGTAGGCAGCAAATAGCGCAAGTCGATGCTATATGGTCAACCAAAGAGTGAGTAATAAATACGAAATATGTTTGTTTTATATATTTTATTGGCATATTTATATATTACTTGTACATTATATCTGGTATGTAACATTGCCGTCTCTTGCTTATTTTCAGCGGGAAGTGTTATTTCAAAGGCCCATGGTTATTGATGCCTACGGAAGTGCCACATACGCCTACGAAATTATTTTATAAGCAAGAATTGTTTTTATCTACTGTAGATGGTACTCATCCCATTGTAGCTATTGTTGGAAAGTGTGCCGTCCTTGATTACGGAGAGTACATATGCAGTGAGTGTTCGTTGTTCCGTCGTTTAAATGAGATTTAAAAAAAAGTGGAAACAAATTGACAACATTATTATTGATGAATTATATAGGCAGACCGACGGAAATACCGGAGGACGATGTGTACATTTGCGAATCGCTTTACGACGAAAGTAAGAGCTTGATGAAAAAACTCAGTCAGGATGGTTTAAAGAAGTTCAATCACACGTCGACGGTAACCGAGGACGAAATCTACTTCTTCCGAAGGCCTATTAATCCCGCTAAAGTATGTATGGTCTTAAAGATATCGTTAACTACATTAAATATATTATTAACTAACATATAAATGCATACTTAATCTACTCTGCGAATAATAGGGATATGTCCTTAGTTCAATCTATTTGCGACTAACTGTTGAAAATTATTGCTTTGCATGTCGTGTGTGTTGTAGGTTTCGAGCGACCTGGCGCAGACGCAAAGTCAAGTCAAGTCCGTCACGCCCAGCTCGGCTCAATTTGAAATGGTAATTACTAATCACAGATATCTTATGTCTCTTGTTTTTAGTAACGTACATACAATATGCAATCGCACGTTCCTTCGAGAGATCACACGCAAGCTGATATAGCAAAAGTCTAAATCCACTCTCGTGTATAAAAAAAAAAAGAGAAAAGGCGAAACATGCCTTTCCCTCCCTCGATCCAATTGACATTTGAATAATTGCGTGTGATACAAGTATTTTTGTTATATCAACAGAATGCATTTACACGCATGTTTTTTCGATCTATATGCCGGCATATTCATTCTTTCTTTTGTTTTGATTATGTAACTATGTGTTAGTATTTGTGTCTCGAGCGGTTTCATCCGACAATCTTTGAATCAGAGCACCTGTTGGGTTTTATCGCTAGAGTATGTTATACGAACGCAGAGCACACCACCGAAAGATCTTGCTTCCATGTCATTCTAATCCAACTAATGTAAGAATGAAGAATTTCGCTTTGGAATTATATACATATCAACTAATCTGTTTATGCAAAAAGTTCCAATTAATAATTGTACATCGTATGTTGCGACTATACATATATACGTTACATATACGTATATCGATATGCGTATGCTGATATGATGTCGAATTGAAAAAAGAAAATTGATATTCAGTTACATTCGAGAGAGAGATATATATATATATATATAAAAGTGTACGAGATGTAACGTAAACGTGGGAGATTATCGCGATTAGTTTTCTTCGGACAGAACACGAAGAAGGGATGACGTTCCTTTTATTATGTACCAACTTTTACTACTGGAGAGAGTCGCGAAAGAAATATATATATATATTTTGCGACCGGTAGTAAGGGATAACGAAAGGTAACATAAACATAAATGGTGTAGGAAGCGTCACCATTGTTACCGAAGCTGGAACCAGATGTGCTAAGCATGGGGGTAGGATTAGGAGTGGGAGTGGGAGTAGGAGTTGGGGAAGACAGCATGGATGCTGGTGGTCCACCATCCGTTGGATCTACGGAAGCTCAACCGGTGCTCTCCAATACTCAGACACCTGTGTCGACTAAGAAGGTAGGCTTTACCGTGACCATTTTATTTTTTATTTTTTTTTGTTCCTTTCATTCTTACCAACTACTTGTCACACGTCATATTTTGTTTATTTTACATTCTTTTTTTTATTTAATTTAGAGAAATATGCCAGCATACATACTCTTTTCGTTTCTCTCTGCACCGTTTGAAGACACACCCACCTGTCTTAACAAAATAGATCGACAATTTGATGTTACCTCTGTTGAAAAGATGTTAAAAAAAAAAGGCAATATGCTCGTTCACAATGAACACGGTGGCATTATAATTTGTGTTTTCTCTTCTGTTTAGAAAACGGCGGGTAAGAAATTAGTTACGGGCTATATTTTGTATTCGAGTAAAATGCGAACGCAGATTACACAAAACAATCCTGAATCGTCCTTCGGAGAGATTAGCAGAATTGTTGGCAACGAGGTATTTATTTCTTTTTCACTGATTGATTTTTTTAGTTAATCAATAAAATGGAGTTTCGATGAAGGAATGTATGCAGAATAAATTTCCTCATACATGCGATCACATACGCGAAATATCTTCGTTCAAGCATCAAATTTGTTGAACTATGTAAACTTTGATCATCTTGACATTTATTTGATAAGGCAAATAAAAAAAAGAAATTAAAAAAACATGCTTGAGATCATATGTAAAGGGGTCACTTTACATGTCGCTAAAACATTATTCAGCATACTTGGTCCTTTATCCAAATAAATTACGTTATATGGCTACTCTCTATTTTTATGAATATAGATGTCTTGCGTACAAGAATATATAATGCATCTTTATTTTTTTTTTTTATAAGAGTAGTACATACGTAAGCTTCTGCCTATCTAAATTCTGCATATATAGCGCCTTGATTTATGTGCCTACCGTTCATCATTCTCGATGTATAAACGTTATCTGTATTGTTCGGTCTCTCGGTGAAGAAGAGAGAGTAGCCATCGAAACAGTTCGTCGAACCACTTTCGCGATGTGCAGAAATGGTTCTCCAACTGTTTGTCAATGGATTACGAGTAGCCCCCTACGGGATTGGATCGCGTAAAACGTGAAATCACTTTCGTTTCAGTGGAGAAAATTACCGGCGGGGGAGAAGCAAGCATGGGAGGAACGGGCGATTAAGATGAACGAGGACGGCGGCCAGCTGAAGGGCACTACTACGGTGAACACGAACGCCACGCAGGACGTCGTGTACGAGTGTTGCTGGGACAATTGCGACTGGCAGTTCGAGGACATGACCGACTGCATCGATCACTGCATCGCGGAGCAGAACGGTCACGTACAATCGTCGTTCGTAAACGCTCCCAGTGGTGAGTATGCAGCCGCAGTCGCGCGGCAACGACGCGTCGAACGACGCAAGGGACAAAAACTATACTGATATCCCGTCAATGTTACAGATGTGGAGTTTCAGTGCCAGTGGCGTGGTTGCGGCCGAACGAAGAAATCTGTCCCGCCGTTCCCGAGCGTGCAGAGGCTCGCGAGACACGTGAAGGAGGTGCATATTCTCAAGTCGCACGGACGCATAATACCTCCGTCTGAGAGGAGCAGGTGGGAATTTATTTATTTATTTTTTCGTACGTCGTTTTGTAAGATGCGCTTTTGTAAAACACACCGTTTGCGATTTGTGTTCCCGCAGGAATTACATGCCCTCGAAGGGACCCACGGTACTGCCGCCGATGGAAACAGGTAATTATATATTATTACAAGTTTTTACGTAAACGCGATATGAATAAGGGAAAAACACATTTCACGTAGAAACTTCAGCTGCCGCAACTCAGACGAGCAGTGTACCCGCCGCTAAGCAACCAGAGCCGATGTTCGTCGCGGTACCACCGAGGCCGAGTCGCGTATTGCATTCGGACGCCTATTTGAGGTGAGTTTCACGCACGAGGAACTCCACTTCGTGGAAGATATCTTTTCGACGATTGCGCTAAAGCGTATCGCTTGCTTCTTTCGCACGCAGGTACATCGAAGGTCTAAACGTAGAGAATCGCTACATATCAAATTGGGATAAGCAGATGAACGCCAATCCGGATAATACGCAGATCCCCGACGTGACGAAGTTGCCGGCCGAGTGGCTCGGCAACGGCGTTGGGAACCATGGGAATGTGGTAAACGCTCTGTGGACACTCAGAAACATGATGATGCGGGATGTGTTAGCCATCAATAAAACTTTATAGTTTATAAACTGTTAAGATTTATAATTTTTGAACGTGCGACGCAACCTATATACTACACAGACCCGTCGACGCTAGAAAGACTGACGGCACTCTCGATCGTTTAAAGAATATCTATATGTAGAATTTTTCTTCTCTTTTTTTTAAATAATTTTTCTTTATTTAATTATATATAATTATATAAGTTCGGTGATATGATCTGAAAGTATCTCTAGGCCACAGATGTCTAACGTCCGGCCCACGGACCGGATTCGGTCGGCGTGGTCTTTCAGTCCGACTCGCGACCGTATTCCAAAAATGAAATTTAGACTACACTTTACTTGTAGTTTCTGGCTAATGCAATAACTTGATATAGTCTGGCCTGCGAGCAATGGTCAAAATTTAAATCTTATCTCGCGGTAGAAGCTAGTTGGGCATCCGTGCTCTAGACAATTCTGCAAAACTATGTTAACTATATATTCGAAATTTATTACTCAGGCATATAACGTTTTTTGTTTTATTCTATTGGCAAGAGATTTTTTTTGCAAATAAAATGTTTACGCTTTTTTTTTATTTGGATTAAATAAAATTCTGTTTTAAGATCATTGTGTTTCGATTATGTGTTGCTTACGACTAATACGATGTGTGTACATAAAAAGATCATACTATATAGAAGGCCATCATTGTGTAAATACTCCTGTTAATTTTCACTTTTCGAACAAAATTTTATATGTTCTGTATAGCGCAAGTAACACATATTCTTATATTTAAAAAATATGAAAGCTGAGAGAAAGAAAAAAAACTTCTTGTATTAGAAACGTAATGGGAAACTACGTATGTATATAGAAACAAATTTGCGGAGCAGCTGATAACGCAACCGATGTCGCGCTCTCTTATCAGTGCTGCTTTCACATACTGTCGCGAAGGTGAGAAGACATAGTGAGATTAATCAAATGATTTATTCGCTATTGACCAATAGCCGAAAAGGAAGGAAAGGAAAAAAAAAGAGGACGGAATCCTGCATCTCATATGCAACAACAATGTAACCTCGTAGCATATATTATTTTTTAAGAATTTTCGATACGATCGGAAGAATTTTGAAGACGTACGTAACTGGCAAATACAAAATGAAATTTTTTACTACAGTGTCGTGTACATATGTTTCTTGATACGATATATTTGTAGAATTTAACTACGATCCCTTTTCTACGTGAACGGCTTAGCATTTAGCTCTTCGAAAAGCTCATATATCTTGGCTGAATAAATTTTCGTTGCTACTCGACATTTTCGCGAATTGTGAATCGATTTTAAATTTCATTCGCCGTCGGAGCGACGCATATTCGACCTTTCACCTAGTAACATTGTTTCGACATTGTTAGCGATTTAGTTCTACATTCATTTTCTCATTGGTAGCGAGAAACTTAACCGCTTCGATGTATAAAATGCTTGTCCTCTAACGTGCGGTATTTAGTATTTGACAAAATATTTTTGTATATGTAATGTAACTGATAATCTGTGCATTATGACGTAAGCTTTTTGTATAGGTTGCCATAGTGCCAGACTTTCGGAAAGAAGGTCAATGTGAAGTTAATAATACCAGACATATGAAACATGCCGTTGCTAATAAATTTGTAGTAACTTCTAGAAACTCACTCGGGGTATCATAAAAAGGCTCATTCTTTTATAATGTAATTTATTACCTCGTTGATATACAATTTTTTCGTTCTGTAATACAAGAGCTTTCTTTCATATACCAGATTTTATTTTTTTCCCATCGAGAAACAATCTTGATTTATTTCACTTAACATTGATGGAAATAGTTAAATTCGATTTATTTTTTTATTTTTTTTTGCACAACATCACAAAGGCAAAACTTAATCATTGCAAGTCGAAAAGTGAGGATTCAATTTCCAGTTCTTTAGATATTCTTATGGAAAAACTCTATAAAAAATATATACACGGCGGCGTTTCAAAAATCACTGACTCTGCCACCGTGCTGCCAGTCTCCCCATTTAGTAGGGTCCTCCTCGTTATCTGATATCAGTTCTCCAGTTCTTGGGTCAGTTTTTACTAATACTAAGTTCACGAATCGCTCCCGTGGTCCTATTTCTAGGTATTAAAGGAGAATCAGTACGAAAATTCCTGAAGGTCTGAGCGTAGTCGATTTCTTATGTGGAAGTTTATATCGCAAAAAGAATATCTCGTTGCACTACTATTCGTTCTTATTAATATCGCTGTTACATACTTGGTATCGGCTGCAATTTAAGTTTCTCATGGAACTGCTTCATTCGCGGCGATTCTTCGATTTCGAGACTCTTTTCCGAGGACTTCTTTAAAATCTCCTCCGCTTTCAGGAAAAAAGCACCTAGTACGTAGTACTCATTTAATTTATATAAATCGTATAACGGGATGAAGATTATACAAACAGACAGGCGTAATGATCAATTCATAAAAGTCGATTTCAAATTTGTAAGTTTAAAACAATATTCTGAAGCATTTTGATCTTGACACGTACTTGTGACAAATCGCCTACAACTTCTTATTTGTAGACTCGGCAAAATATAATTTATGCGAATCATCGTGCGTACGATTATGAAAGCATTGACGTGACGAACAGTAATTTTATTAATAAAACACTATCGCCAATGTAGCCATGATCTCTGCCATAATACAAATATATATAAATAAATATATATAATATATATATATATATATATATATATATATATAAATTATATATAAAATACTGTACGTTGCTTTTCCTAATCTAAAATGTAACTGAACGACGCTGTACATATCTATTTTAATTTTGTACGATGATCGCGCACTTATAAGTACTTATAAGTACTTTCTGGGAATGACAAATCGAAATATCATCGATCATTATGAAATATGAAATATGATCCTGCTATGCACCGGATTGATAGTTGATTATGCCGCGCACATTGGACTGGAATTCATACGCTCAAGAGCGGCAGTAAGAAAGGTCGCTAACAAATATTTTTTATTTTTTTGTTTAGTATCAAGTAAAAGAGCACTTTTGAAATGTTATGCGATAGAATTTATCAATTTATGACTACAATTAACTAACAAATTTTTTATATTAACAAATTAATTAGATTACGATTAGAAATTTACTTTAACGAATTATTGTTTAAATTATTAAATAATATAGTTTGAACGAAATTGCAAATTATGTATGTATATATATACATACATAATTTATATTGATAATTCTTAAAAGACTCTATAGCGCTTAAAAGACTCTATAACGCTTCAATATAAATACATAGAATGCTATTATAACTTCTCATCTTATTGTACTTGCAGCACTAACGACGTTTAACGTTATTGGATCAGCAATGTTTAATGGTGGCTTGAGTACATTCCTAGTCTTTGTCCTGTTAGGTTTCGGCCTGGCTTACGTTTTCATAGCTTTTTTCAAGGTGTACATATGGATAACAACATCGAAAGTATAATTGTTGTAAAAAGAAAACACGGAAATGTTATATATTTTATATCTACTACTTCTACCTGTGATATTGAGCTTGGCGGGACCCGATGAGAGAAGGCAACACAGCCTAGAAAAGAGTCAAGTTATGCAATATCACAACGGTTATTATACCGTCCATCTATCCCAAATTGAGAAGAAGACTTTGAAGTTTCAATGTGCAGTCAAACAAAATGCAATTTTTTGAAACGAATTTACTTTTATAATTTTCCTTTACAGATACAGAAGACGCAATTGCTAAATGACGTTTAGCAATGCTTCAAAAAGGCTGCTTAGGTAAAAATATTTTTGTAGAAAATTATAGCGCACTGGAATTCGTATGATAGTGGAACGAACAAAGCGCGCATATCACATCACGGCGTTATATGTCTGTCTCTTTCTCCTCTCATGTCCTTCCATTCTTTTATACATACATTGAACAAAACCACTAAATAAAAATATTTTTCATTTAAAGGGAATTACACGAAGTTATTTGCTTCGCCTGTTTGTGATCAGTCCATCCATCTTTCTCTTGCTCGTCCCTATCTACGTCCATATCCTCGTCCGAACTGCTGGACTCGTGTTTCACTGGCAGAGAAGGGCGAGCAGGCTGAGCGGGTAGCTCCGAATTCAACCACGATTGCAATGGTGGTAATCTTTCAAATTCCGTTTTCGCTGCAGACTCGTTGCCTTCCTTCCAATATCGATGAAACCTCAATAATAACTCCGCTACTTGCATACTGCTGTCGTCAGTGTCGTCATCGTCGTCATCTAATTTTATTATGTTAAACTGTTCGTTCATGTAATCATCCAGTATATCGACCATTTCATCATAGTTTAGATCTGCAAAAACAACACAATTAAATTAATATAATTCCATATAACATTATTACTGTACTAATATTAATGCTTCAAAAAAAGTTCAGCGAAAGTAACCTTTCGTATACAGCTCATCCGTTATATATGAACAAAATTTCCTTGCGCGTTCTACTGGAAAGTTGTTGAGTTGCAGTACCGCCATCTAAAAATGAATATATAGTTTGATTACGCAAGGTAATAATTTTTTAAATTTGACAATAATATATATTCTTACATTTAAAATAGATATAGCAACTATTTGTTTTTACTATACTTCGTTTCATATAAAAATATAAAGCATTTTAAGCATCTGATGAAAAGAAAAAAAGGAAAGAAATACTTGTGTCAACATTTTAAGACACAAGAGAGAGCGTCAGATTTTAAGAATTTAATACGAGATTAAGGATTGTGAGAGAGCTTATTTTTAGTCCTGTCCAATTACTGAATATATGTTGGGTGATTGTTAGAAAAAATTGCTTACTGCGATCACTGCGCTCCATTTTAGGTTATAAATCTTCTTTCACTTAATGCAGCGATTTGTCCGTGACCGACACGACCAGTATAACACCCAATTAATCGGATTTATGATCAGAAAACATTTATGTATTAGCATAAAAAATTAGTTTTGTCAATAACTTTCAAATATATTATTTTCATTCGCATTCAGTGGATGCAATGCAGTGAATTGAGGTTATAACTTCTTTAAATTACACCGGCACACAAAAAAAAAAAAGTGGTTTGTGCATTTGACCGGACCCATCTACGGACANGTTTTTCGACCCGCTGAATCCGAATTTGAGGTCCGTTGGGCTCGGTCAAGGTCCCAGATTTTAGTAAAATGCAA